GATACTGAAAGTCACAAGAAGCACTTACGTACGGTCGTGTGAGATTAAAGATATGTGATATCCACGAACATGCATAAAGATCAGTATAAAAGGACCAGTATAATATAAAAAAAGCGACGCTTCTTTCTGTCAAATAAAAAAAAATAAAGATTTACTCAGATCTCTAACCATCGAAATGAGTGACGAGATTGAACTATCGCTCCCAATAGCCAATGTAGGACGGATGATGAAGAAGATCCTCCCACCAAGTGCAAAGATTTCAAGAGAAGCAAAAGAGAGAATGCAACAATGTGCATCGGAATTCATATGTTTTGTAACCGGCGAAGCAGCCCATCGGTGTCAAAAGGAGAATCGAAAGACGGTGAACGGAGACGACATATGCTGGGCTTTGAGTTCACTAGGCTTCGACAACTATTCAGAAGCCATGTTAAGGTACTTGGAAAACTTTAGGGAGTTTGAGAGAGAAAGGGCTAACCAAAATAATTATAAAGCTAATAATAATTGCATTGAAGAGAAAGATGAAGAAACGAGCTATGAAGATATTACCACTTCATTTGATTTTGGGATTCTCGAGAGAGGAGGAGCATCCTCAGCAAAGCACTCTTGAAAAGACAATAGTGAAAAGTAGTTTAATTTTTAAGGCCAATTTTCATTTGTGTTTGCAACTAAACCCTATTCTATGTTTAATTAGATACTTTATGTTTGGAATCAGAATGCATGACTATACAACATTAAGTAATAATGTTATATATTCTTTCTTCGTTTAATCTTGGAATTGAATTTTTGACTCTAAGGTAATATTAGCCGCAATAATAAGGCATGCTTTGGTTGTCAAGATAAGATTAACCAAGATAAAATTACATAATCTAATGAAACTTAATTGGATTATAGATTGGACCTTGAAAGATCCAATAGAAAACATGCCTAGAAGGCAATATAAGGCATGATAACATAATATTTGCGAGTTGACTCGACAAGTTATCGGGGATGGCAAAAACCAAACAAAGTCCCATTATTTAGTTACTCATGACTAATCTCCCCAACAAAACGAGACCTAAGAAAATTATTTATCTGGGATTTCTTAGTTTGATCTTGGAATTAATTTTTTTTACTTAAGGTTAGAACTATACTAATATTAGCTCACAATAATCAGAGAATTATTTATTTGGGAATTGATCAGTAGAAGATTAGAGGTTTTATATATACTGTGTATCATCAAAGTCAAGAAGCCAAAAAATTATGGAATTGTGTGTGCGTGTGTGCATGGACAATGGAATTATAAGTCTAGTTATTTTTCGCACTCGATCCATCATATTATAAACACATAAAAATTTAAATGTTAAATCTCTTTCAAATCTATCTTTGGATCCTGAGAATTAAATATAGGGGTCTTATGATATAGGTCATTGGTGATAACACTAAGTAGAACTGAATGACAAGCCAAACTAAACTTTTGTTTCACATTATTCTTTATTAAATTCATTCCAAAAATGTTCCCCACATATAAATTCGAATTTGTATTAAGTAAAATTCAAACTGCATTTAATATCTTCATTTTTTCATCTAATAATATATTTTATTTTATTTTTACCGACTTGGTCATCTTTATTTTTTTTCACTCTAGCATTTTGTACGTTATTAGAAGTAACTTTTTTTTGAACTTGTTATTGAAAATTACAAAAAAATAATTTTTCGTTTTTGTCAAATAATACTGCAGATTTTAAAAATACTATGGTGTACTATGCTATGGTATACAATGGTATACTATGATGTACTATTCCGCACACTATTCCGAACTCTATCACTCAACAA